TATTGTATTCGATGCTTGGCAATGCTTACTATAACTTTTCACGCATTCTTCGGTCAATATTGGCCCGATTTTGATAAAATTGTTTCCAAAATTATGTTTCAACTTTATACTATTGTATTTTTCCCATTTAATTTGTCTAATATTGTCGTATATTTGAAAATTGTTTGATATTTGAAAAATATTAGTTATTTTCTACATCAAATTGAGAGAAAAACTTATTTTCTCCCTAAAATTGTTAATTATTTTTTGAAAATTTAAAAAAAATGAAAATTTTAATTTTCGTCTTTCAAGTATAAAAAGAGACGCGCATGGATAAGAGAAGGGAAGTTTTAAAAGAAGAGAATGAAGAGAATTGAAGAGAGGGGGTGGGGGAGATATAAGGAGGAGAATTATATAAATGTATAGAAGTAGGCGGGAAACTGGAAATTTATTCTGTCATCGTTGGAACTTAGTTAAAGCTGTACTGCACGTATATCACGAAATACAGACATCGTTAGAGGAGTTACTGCGCTCTTCTCCAATTACAATTTTTCTATCAATTGATTTCTCTTATTTATATGCTCCTGGCGCTCACTATAATATATATATATGAAAAAAATTCTCCAAACGTTTCTAATGCGAAAAAACAATAAATATTTTTTATTAGAAAATCATATTTTTAAGTATAATAATATTATAAAATATTCTTATATTTTATAATATCATACTTAAAAATATTATTTTCTAATAAAAAATATTTATTGTTTTTTCGCATTAAAATTTTTTTCGCATTTATAATAAATAAAAATAAAAATAATAAAAATAATAATAATAATAATAATAATAATAATAATAATAATAATAATAATAATAATAATACAAATAATAATAATAATAAAATTATAATAATAAAATTATAATGATAAAAATTATCATTTCAAAATGTACATTTTGTTTCTTTAATTCTATAGTCGCAAGTGTAAATTAGAAGAAAATTGAAAAGATTTATTCAAGGGGCAAACTTTTTAATGATATATAAAGAAGTACAACTATACTCTCAAAGAAGAAATGCATTAAAACTTGTGCATAACTTCTTTTACAATCTTCGATAATCTATTTTTCTTCTATTCTTTTTTCGCATCTGTATGTAAAATAAATACGTACGTAATGCGAAAAAAACCTTTTTTTCCCCATATAATTTAATAGATTTTAATTTCTCGTTATAACGAACAATGTCTGTTTTTCTTATTTGTAAAATACTTAAAAGTATTTCAGGGCTCGAACCAGTGAAAGTATTTAAAAATACGGACTTTACGGACCAAAAATGAAAAATTATTTTCATCATTTCAATTCAATTATATTATTTTCAAAAATTTTTTACTAAAATTCTACTATTATTTAGATCAATTATTTATAATAATTTTCGAAAAAGTTCCACGAGAATTCCATTATTTAAATAAAAAAGTAAATAATTTATTGAATAATTAAATGTTTCTCAAAGTTGAATTCTCATAAAGAATTTTATCAACAATTTTTTGAATAATTGAATTCTTTTGTCGAATTTTATTAAAACTTGTATGAAAATAATTACTTTTTTCAAGAAATTGAGAAAAAGAATTGGAAGTATAATTGAATTGTATGAAAAATAATTGAAATTCTGCGATGAGTTTTATTATTTGTATAAAAATAATTGAATCCTTAAGAAGATTTGTATTACTCTTGAAAATAATTGAATTTCTGCAATAATTTGTAACTTCTCCAAAATTAAATTTTTTTCTTCTGTTTTTAACTAAAATTCTTCTATAAATCCATTATTTTTAATAATTTTTGAAAAAGATCTTTGAGAATTTTTAAACTCATTTGTTTATAGTTCAATTTTACAAAATTTCAATTATTCGGAAATTCTTCAATTAAATATATATTAGAAAATAAAAACTTAAAGTAATTTAAAAAAAAATGTATTAAACTTTTTTAAAAGAATTAATTCTATACAGAATTGTTTGCTAAAAATATAAAAAATTCAGAATTTCAATCATTTTAATTTGAAACCTTATCAAAATTCAATTATTTCTAAAAATTCACGCTATAATGATTTTAAATTTTTAATATTTAATTATAATCTAAAATTTTAATTGAAATTCATTTTTAAAACAATTTTTATTAGTAAATTTTACGAGAATTCAATTATTTAAATACAAAATTAAATAATTTATTAATTTAATGTTTCTTAAAATTAAATTCTTATATAAAATTTTATCAACAAATTTTTTAATAATTTAATTCTTTGGACGAATTTTAATAAAATTTTTAAGAATAATTACATTTTTCGTGGAATTTGATTAAAATTGCATTAAAAATAATTGAAATTCTGCAATAAGTTTTATTATTTATAAAAATAATTGAATTCCTAACAAAATTTTATTATTTATGAAAATAATTGAATTATTTTAAAGAATTTTATTATTTATGAAAATAATTGAATTTCTAAGATGAATTTTATTTTTTCAAAGATAATTTTATTTTCGTCAATAATTTGTTTAAAGTTTTTAAAAATAATTGAATTTCAGACAAGAAATTTATTATTTTTGATAATAATTGAATTCCTGCGAAGAATTTTATTATTTATGAAAATAATTGAATTATTTTAAAGAATTTTATTATTTATGAAAATAATTGAATTTCTAAGATGAATTTTATTTTTTCAAAGATAATTTTATTTTCGTCAATAATTTGTTTAAAGTTTTAGAAAATAATTGAATTTCAGACAAGAAATTTATTATTTTCGATAATAATTGAATTCCTGCGAAGAATTTGTTTAAAGTTTTAGAAAATAATTGAATTTTAGACAAGAAATTTATTATTTTCGATAATAATTGAATTCCTGCGAAGAATTTTTTTTTTTATAAAGATAATTAAATTTTTGGGGAAAATTTTCTTAAAATTGTTGAATTTCTGTAAAGAATTTTATTATTTTTTGAAAATAATTGAATTGCTGAGAAAAATTTTATTATTTATGAAAATAATTGAATATTTGCGTAGAATTTTATTCAAATTTTTTTTAAGGATATCAAATTGAGACAAAAACGTGCATCGCAACAATTTTTATACGTTTTTTTTTACCTCAATTTACGATATTCTTAGAAAGATTGTGAAAATTCGTTTATTTTATAAAAAAAAAGAAATTATTATCAGAATTTTTATTGAAATGTATCAAGTTTGTTTTCGGTCTTTGCGAAGAAAATTGAGGAGAATTAATAGACTCTCTATAAATGGATTATCGCACCTTGGTTATAGTTGAGTGCATGATTTCCATGAATTTGATGACTATTGCAGTTTAGGACTAGTGAACTTAATGTCCTTCGAGGATCCTGGTTATGTGTGATTACTATTAATTTAATGACTCTCCAGATTCCTCTCTACATTGCTTCGCGTGCAGTGTTATAGGGACACAGTCATTTACACGAAATATACATATTCATATATACAAAATATACGATTTCAACGAATGGATTTAAAAATAATTCTTTAAATGCATGGTTTACGGCCCGAAAAACCGTGAAATAGGCTATTTTTCTCAGACTTCGAAGCCACAAAAAAAAACTTCATGAAAACCACGCTAATTTTCAAAATAGTGTATAACAATTCTGAAGAATTAATTTTTTTGAAAAAGTTTATTTCACTTTTTTATTGAAATTATTTCAACTTTTTATTTTCAAATATTAACTAAATTAAGAATTTCCGAATAATCAAAAAACATATTTAATTCGCAACGAAAACAATTTAATTTGAAATTGGAATTATTTACCAAATAATAGAAACAATTGACTAAGATTGTTAAAAAATCATTTGCATTCAAATTCAGCAATGCTCTCTGTTAGCGAGAGGTGAAATTCTTGAAATTGTTTTCTATAAATAGGAATATATAACCGAGTTCATTCCAACGAACTGCCTTTGGCTAAAACCGATCATATTTTAGCCACAGTACAGCGATAGTAAATCAAAAAACATCAATATAATCAGAAATGTTGTTCTCTTGAATAATTGACCAAACCTCCAAAATTATTAAGTATAAAGTATATAGAAAAAAGATTCTACTCACTCAAAATTCCAAGGTATTAACTCCTCTCTAATCTCGGAAAACATTGTATCCTGTAATAATCCTAATAATTCCTTCGTAAATGCTGATACAGTTTTGCAAATTAAATTGTGAAATTTCTTTCGAATGAAGATAAGCTTTATGCAGTAAATAATCCTTTCTTGAACTCGCAGTTATTCATAAATCCTCTTGAGGCACTTCAGACACTTTAGCGAAACAATAATAATAAGAAATTTGCTACAAAACAAATATATACTTTAATGTAACCTAACCTTCAAATAAAAAAAAAATATAAATTCCGTAAATTCCACTTATACATCAAGTTTATATCTTTCAATACTTTTCTTATTAAATGGTAATAGCATTCCTTCTGCAAATTGGAATAATTTCCCCAGTTTTGAGAGCACTCAGGCAAATGATTTCTGGATAAATTTTCTTTAGAGTCGTGTAAAAATAAACAATTTTAAACAATGCATGATTGTTACTGATCATTACTGATCGCCCTCCTGTCTGCTAGTTGCTACTTTTTTGGCGCCAAAACTATAGTGCGTTCTAGGGACTTTTATTTTTTTTTTCCCCTCAAAAGTACTAGATGATAGAGGCTTCTGATTGGCTGATATAAATCGAAGGACAAATCAATTTTTCAACTGCCGTTTGGCGTTTACTTCATTATCATTTTTTTTGCACATATATATTTAGCTAGAATTTTCTGAAAAGAAAATTCTGTCCTACAATAAATATAAATAATTATTCTTGTAATTTGTCTAGCAATTTATTTATAATTCTCACTTTTTATATATAGGAGAAAGGGGTGAAACGTCCTGATTGGTTGTTCGATTGTATCGATCGTATCGATATATCGAGCGTCAGCTGACCCTCTGAAGTTGGCGCTGTCGGCAGTTAGTGGCAGTTAGTAAACCTCGTTGAGAAGGAATAGAAGAAAATTGTGCTTTTATTGTTTATTCCAATCTTTAACTGTGAAATCAATAAATAATCATCGTGATTGCAATGCATTAGACACAAATTGGCTGATTATATTACGAATCGCTCATATATGGAAGTAAAACGTCAAAGGATGAATTTTCCACTCAGTTTCGATGGAGCTTTATGGATGAAACGGTTGACCTTGATGCATCGAAGAAACAAATGCAAAATAGTTGAATGTTCATTTTCGGTGAGTGAAAAGAATTTTAGTAGCATTAATTAGTAAATTATTAGTATTAGCAATTATTATTTATTTGTAAATTAGTAAATATTCTCTAAATTATGTAAACTGTGTATAGTAATAATAGTGGTAAAAAATGTTTACCATGTTGATACGGCACTTAATCACTCTAACCCCTCTAACCGAAGGCCAAACCAAATTGCGGTTAGTTTCCTGTAACTTTGGTTAGTGGCTTTAAAAAATATCAATTCAGGCGAAAGATTTAAAGAGAAAAGAGAGTGATAATTATTTGAAAAATAATGTACATTCTCTTGCATTTATTATTTTTGTCATATAGAAAAGCGTTAAATCTAGTACAGTCGAAACAAAAAGTTAGTCCGATACTTCAATGGTTTCGGTGTTTCTTATATTGACAAAATGTGTAATTTTCAACAATTTAAAGAATTAAAGTTTGATTTGAATAAAAATTATAATTTTCTGTCATTATAAATATTGTTTACTTTCCAGGTTATGTTACCAACAATTTAAACAATTAAAAGTTCCATTTGAATAAAAATTACAATTTTAGTGTGATACAATATAATATCACACTAAAATTAATTTATAAATCCAAACAAAATAACAGGACAATAAAAATTACAATTGTTGGTCATTAAAAATTATTTTTCAATTTTAGATTATTTCCCAAAGATGCAATTTTTTTCGACTTATTTTCAATAATTTAGACTTTTTTCCAAATATTGCAACAAAATACTACATTTTTATTATAAATTGCAAATTATTTCGATTTTTCTAATATGAAAATTAACTTTAGACAAATCTTTCAAAAATTATTTTAAAATAATTTTTCTAATTAAATTTTCCAAATAAACAATTAAGATTTTGAATAATTGAAATTTTGTAAAATTTATTTGAAAATAATTGATTTTTTTCAAATATTATTACAATTTTTTAAACTCAACGTTTGAAAAATTTTAATCGCAAATTTTGTGAAAATAATTGAATTCTCAAAAAAATTAAATGAAAAATTTTCACGTGTAAATTTATGAAAATGAAAATTAATGAAAACTAGCTTCTAAAAAATAATAATAAAATTTTTTTTAGAAAAGTAATTCTTAGAATATTTTTTTTTTATTATAATTTTTTAAAATTCATTTATTTTTAATATTTCAAAAAAATATAATTCCGAAAATTCAAATACATAGGTACAAAAAATAATACAAACATTAACAGGGTTGCCATAGGTCAGGAAAATCAGGGAAAAATCAGGGATTTTTATTAAAGGACTGGAAAAAATTGAATTTTGTAGAAGCTACAAATGATTGCAAAAATTCAATTATTTTCAGAAGTAATAAAATTCTTCGCTAAAATTCAATTATTTTCGAAAATTTCTCATCCAATTATCTTTAAAATTAATAAAATTCTTCTCTCAACTTCAATTATTTTAAAAAATTTTAATAAAATTCTTGGCACAAATTTAATTATTTTCAAAAATTTTCCTAGATTAAATTATTTTTAATATCTACTATTTTAATAAAAATTTTCAAAAAATTCAATTATGTATTTAAAAAAATGTTAATCAAATTGTTAGCAAACATTTAATTATTTTCATTAATAATAAAAATTTCACAGGAATTCAACTATTGAAAAATTTTTTTTATAAATTTCTTCACAAAAATTCAGTTATTTTCATAAATATTAAATAATAAAGTTTTTTTTACAGAGATTCAATTATTTTCATGAATAGAATTCGTCGAAATAATTCAATTATTTCTTAAAATTTTTATAAAATTCTTCGACAGAATTTATTTACTTTCAAAAATTTGTTGATAAAGTTGATTAATAATTGATTTCTTTCGAAGAATTTTATTATTTATGAAAATAATTCAATTCTTAAAACGAATTTTATCTCATTTTTTTAAATAATTGAATTTATGTGAAACTTTTATATATAAATTGAAATATACTAAAATCTGTATTTTTTTGTAGATTTTACGGTCTTGGAAAAGAAAAATAACAAATAACAACAAAAAAGGAATACGAACGTTTTGAGAAGAAATTATTAAGAAAATAGTATACTTTCGGAGTAGTAGATGCTTGAGAAATTTACACAATTAAATAATGCAGCAAACAGGAAAATTTTTCGGTGAGTAATGAGAATTTGACAAATAATAATTTAGAAAAATATTTTTTCTTTCAACGATCCTTTGCCTTTTATGATTTTTTGAACAATGACAGGGTTGCTACGCAACCTGAAAAACCTGGAAATGTCGGGGAATTTTATAAACCTTGAAAAAACTTGGAAAAGTCAGGGAATTTTGATCGAAATCCTGGAAAGCTGTTGTTTTCTAAAGTTATTGTGATTATTCTTAAAATCTAATTTCACTTAAATATTTCAAAATTAATTCAATTTTAAAAGAATTTCAGAAAAATTAAATTAAATAATAATCATAAAGATATCATAATAATATCATAAAGAACAAAATTCTTCGCAGGAATTCAATTATTTTAAAATATTTTTTATAAAATTCTTCTCAGAAATTCAATTATTTTCAAAAATAACAAAACTTTTAGCAAAAATTAGCTTATTTTTTAAAATTTTCATAAAATTCTTTGCAAAAATTCAATTATTTTCAAAAATTTCATAAAATTCTTCGTAGAAATTCAATTATTTTCAAAACTTTCAAATAAAGTTCTTGGAAAGAATTCAATTATCTTTCCATAAATAACAGAATTCTTCCCAAAAATTAAATTATTATCAAAAATAATGAATTTTTTTAGCAGGAATTCAATTATTTTCAAAATTAATCATAAAATTCTATTATTTTCGAAACATTCATTAAACTTCTTGACAAGAATTCAATTTTTTTTTATAAATAACAAAATTCTTCCTAAGAATTCAATTATTTCTATAAAGGACAAAATTCTTAGTATAGGAATTAAATTATTTAAATATTTGTTTACAAAATTCTTCGTAGAAATTAAATTATTTTCAAAAATAACGAATTTTTTAGCAGAAATTTAATTATTGTCAAAAATTTTAATAAAATTTTTCGCAAGAATTCAATTATTTTCGTAAATAATAAAATTCATCGCAGAATTTTAATTGTTTTTAATACAATTTTACAGGAATTGCTCAAAAATGTACCTAATTATTCTTAAAAATTTAATTTCAATTCCTAGAAGAAAATCAATTATTTAAAAAAATGCTTTTTTTAAAATTCTTTGGAAGAATTGAATTACTTACAAAAATATTAGAATTTTTTACAGTTATTCAATTATTTTCAAGTTTTTTTAAAAAATTCTTCGCAGAAATTTAATTATTTTCAAAACTTTCGAATAAACTTGGAAAGAAATCAATTATCTTTATAAACAACAAAATTCTTCGCAAAAATTCAATTATTATCAAAAATAATGAATTTTTTTAGCAGGAATTCAATTATTTTCAAAAATTTCATAAAATTCTTCGCTGAAATTTAATTATTTTCAAAACTTTTAAATAAAGTTCTTGGAAAGAATTCAATTATCTTTTTATAAATATAACAGAATTTTTCCCAAAAATTCAATTATTTTAAAAAATAACATTTTTAGTAAGAATTCAATCATTTTTTTAAATTTTCATAAAATTCTTCACAGAAATTGAGTTATTTTCAAAAATTTTAATAAACTTCTTTGAATTCTAATAAAATTCTTTGAATTTGAAATAATAATTGAACAATATTAAAAGCACTATATCGTGAATTTTTTAGCAATAATTGAATTTTGAAAAGTTTGCAAATTGAAATTTTAGGAAAAATTGAATTCTTTGCAAAAATTCAATTATTTTCAAAAATAACGAATTTTTTAGCAGGAATTCAATTATTTTCAAAAATAACGAATTTTTTTGTAGCAGGAATTCAATTATTTTCAAAATTTTCATAAAAATTTTTCGTAGAAATTTAATTATTTTCAAAACTTTTAAATAAAGTTCTTGGAAAGAATTCAATTATCTTTTTATAAATATAACAGAATTTTTCCCAAAAATTCAATTATTTTCAAAAATAACGAATTTTTTAGCAGGAATTCAATTATTTTCAAAAATAACGAATTTTTTTGTAGCAGGAATTCAATTATTTTCAAAATTTTCATAAAAATTTTTCGTAGAAATTCAATTATTTTCAATACTTTCAATAAAATTCTTTGCAGAATTTGAATTATTAAAAAATTTGTTGATAAAGTTCATAATTATGAAAATTCAATTTTAAGAAACATTAATAATAAAATATTTATTTTTATAGTTATAAATAATTGAATTCTCGTAGAATTTTCTCATAAATATTGATTTAAAAATGAATTTCAAATTAAAATCTTTGAAAATTTGAACTTTTTATACTTTTAAATTAAGAATTCTATAGAATTAATTTTTCTCAATAAAAGGTTATAGAATTTTTTTTAATAATTTGAAGTTTTTAATTTCTAATATATTTAATTGAAGAATGTCAGAGTAATCGAAATTTCGTAAAATTAAATTCTAAACAAAAGAATTTGAAAATTTACAAAGAACTTTTTCAAAAATTATAAAAAAAAAATTGAAGAATTTTAGTTGAAATTTCTAGAAATGAAGAATCGTAATGACGATAATAAATTTTGAAGAAGTAACAGTAATAAAGTAGCAAGTTTTAATTATTATAAAACATGAAGATCGCTTTCTTCATGTTTTATAATAATATTCTTGTTATTGAATTTCAAATTTTCGAATATTTTATAATTTCTATAAAAAAAATAATGATTAAATATTTATTTAAAAATGAAGTTATTGATATTTTCGAATAATTTTCGTTTTAAAAAAACCTGGAAAAATTTCGGTTTTTTAAACCTGGAAAAGTCAGGGAATTTGAAAAGAGGAAAAGCGTGGCAACCCTGAAGAGAGTGAATCGTCCGGGTTGTTAAAAGAAAAAGGAAAAATAGTTAGCAATAATAATATCGCAAATAATAACGATGATAATATAATAAGTAGGTTGTAACGCTTTTGCTACAGAGAGTCAAGGAGTGTTTTACACGGTCTTGGTAAAAGATATATAGAAATTGTATTAGACAGAGTAGAGTGTGTATATATGTTGAGAGAAAGGAGCAACAACATGAACGCAAGCTCGTTATACAAGTGCCTCGTTACTGGCCAAGGGAATTCTCTCTCTCATCTCTCTACAAGGAAGGACATGAACTCAAAACCTTTAACATCGTCTCTCTCTCCTACTCCATTACACTCTTCACACATACATATATATATATCTACACATGGGGGGGAGGCGAAAACTTTACTGGTTTAACAACGACCCCTTGAGATGATTTTCATGGTAGCAAATTTCCGGATAACATCCATTTTCACATCTATCGCTTGTCCCCCGTCCGATATTAAAGGCAGTGGTGGCTGGGCTAAATCTAATGGATATATAATGGACGTTTTGAAAATGAAGGAGAAGGGAAGATTTCTCAGTACGATATTGCCCGCTCTTCAGGTGTGCAACTTCCGTGCGGTATTTGTGATTCAGAGGCATGTGTGCGTGATTGGAGGCAACGTGATTTGAATGTGTGTCGGTGGCGCATTGATGGTACGCGCATAGTCGGCTTTTAAGTCCGTGGTACTGAAGGGGCTAACGCCCAGCTGCTCGCCAGTTTGCGAACGCACGCGGATCTTATCGCAGAATCCTCCAATTCACTGCAGCATCCCTTTTTCGAAAATTTCGCTCTCGCTCCGAACGAGAGAGAGAGATAGAGAGAAATAGAGAGAGAGAAGTATATATACACACTGGCTCCCGCTCTCTCGTCGCGACTCGTGACTCTTGTTCGCTCTCGCGCTGTTTTCCTCCTCTTTCTCTCCTCCTCTTCTTCTTCTTCTTCTACTTCTTCTTCCACCCTCTCAATGCCTGTTTGACCAACTTTGGATGCTGACCTTTACCACTGTTTCTATTACAGGGAGAATCTTCGTTAGGTTGAAAACTGTCTTTTGTTAAATTCACTCATGACATTTTCAACGATCTCGAGAGTTGGAGATTGTCCCAGTGGGGTCATAAGTCGACTACAAAACGCTTATCACATCCCAACTGTGAAGGATTAACGGCTATAACTAACGGTGAAAATCAACCGGTTAAATGTGGTTCAACGGTTGAGTTGGGAATCAGCATTCAGCGACGGCAACTTTTTGTTTTTTAATGATCTTCTCCTCGTTATCATGCGTCAATTTCTTCCTCAACGTTCCTGTGAAATGTGAGTACACTTTTTCTACGATTCTCTTTTGAAAAAAAAAAATAATTAAGTTTTCTTCGTTAGGAAAAAGAGAGAGAAATTTTTTTTTCTCTTTTCTATTCAGAAAATAATTAGAGGGACTATAAATTACTAAAATAGCAATTAGTGCAATTGTAAATTAATTTTACAATTCGTTTCCTTTTTGTAAAGTGAATTTTATTTAATGCCAAGAAATTATTTACAATTTTTTTTTGAGGATATCAAAATTGAGACAAAAAACGAACCGAAAGTGATGCAAAGCAACTTTTTTGATTCCTTTTTTGCCTCAATTTTGATATCTGCAGAAAAACTGTGTTAATATTAAAAGTTCTCTTTTATCAAAATTATTATTTTATTTATTTTACTTTAAAATAGCAATTAGTGTAATTTTAAATTCATTTTACAATTCATTTTCTTTTAAAAAGTGAATTTTATTTAATTCCAAGAAACTATTCACTGTTTTTTAAGGATATCGAAATTAAGACAAAAAGTGTTGCAAACCAACATTTTTGATTCGTTTTTTGTCTCAATTTTGATATCTGCAGAAAAACTGTGTTAATATTAAAAGTTCTCTTTTATCAAAATTATTATTTTATTTATTTTACTTTAAAATAGCAATTAGTGTAATTTTAAATTCATTTTACAATTCATTTTCTTTTACAAAGTGAATTTTATTTCATTCCAATAAATTATTCACCGTTTTTTTTAGGATGTCGAAATTGAGACAAAAAATGAACCAAAAATGTTGCAAAGCAAAATTTTTGATTCGTTTTTTGTCTCAATTTTGATATTCTCAAAAAACTGTTGGTATTAAAAGTTCTATTTTATCGAAATTATTATTTTGAAAAATTGTTTATTGAAATAATTGTTGCAGTATTTAAATAAATATTTATTTCGAAGTCATTGTTTCATAAAAATTTATTTTTACTAAAAACTATTGTTTTTAATTACTTTTTTTTTCTACCGAAACAATTGATCAAAGAACTGGTTATAATTTTTTCTTTTCTTAATTCGAACTCGAGAATTATGATTCTCCCGATTAAAGAATTGATAATTTTTTTCTTTTTTTTATTTCAAGCTCGAGAATTTTGATACTTGAACTCGAAATAAAAGAATTTAAATTTTTCGATTTCTTGTAACTATTTCAAGTCATTGTTTCAAAAAAATGTATTTTTACTAAAAACTATTGTTTTTAATTGGTTTTTTTTTCTACTGAAACAATTGTTATAATTTTTTGTTTTCTTTATTCGAACTCGATAATTTTGAGTTTTCCGATAAAAGAATTGATTTTTTTCTATTTTTGATTTCAAACTCAAGAATTTTGATTCTTGAACTCGAAATAAAAGAATTGAAATTTTCGATTTCTTGTAATTATTTCGTTATTTGTATAAAAATTACTAAAATTTTCCTCCAAAATTTTTGAAATTTAAAACTTTAATTTTTGATTCTTGATGAGGGCATTTGATTTATTTGAGCTTAAAAAACGGAATTTTTTTCTTTTTTTATTTCGATCTCGAGAATCAAAATTCTCGTTCTCGAAAATACAAAAGAAAGTAGATTTTCGATTTCTTGTAACTATTTCGTATTTGTTAAAAAATTAACTAGAATTTTCCTCCAAAATTTGTAATTTAAAACTTTAATTTTAAATAACTGTTAATTCTTTTTTATTATTGAAATAATTGTTGCATTATTTAAATATTTATTTTCAAGTCATTGTTTCAAAAAAATGTATTTTTACTAAAAAATTATGTTTTTAATTACTTTTTTTTCTACTGAAACAATTGTTATAATTTTTTCTTTTCTTAATTCGAACCCGAGAATTTTGATTCTTCCGATTAAAGAACTGATAATTTTTTTCTTTTTTTATTTCAAACTCGAGAATTTTTATTCTCGAATTCGAAATAAAAGAATTTTAATTTTTCGATTTTTTGTAACTTTTTCGTATTTGTATAAAAATTTCCCTTCAAAATTTTTAATTTAAAACTTTAATTTTTTATTCTTGATGAGAGCATTTGATTCAGTTGGAGCCTAAAAAAACTGAATTTTTTCCTTTTCTTATTTCGATCTCGAGAATTTTCATTCTGCCGATTAAAGAAATAATAATTTATTTTTTTTATTTCAAGTTCCAGAATTTTGATTCTTGAACTCGAAATAAAAGAATTTAAATTTTTCTATTTCTTGCAACCATTTCGTATTTTTTTGAATAAAAATTTAATTTTTTTGTATAAAAATTAAATTTTTTTATAGAAAAATAATTTTATTATTTTATAGAGAATTTTCCTTCAAAAATTGTGATTTAAAACTTTAATTTTTGTTTCTTGATAGAAGCATTTGATTCTTTTTTGGAGCCTAAAAAAACTGTTTATAATTTTTTTTTCTTTTTTTATTCCAAGCTCAAGAATCAAAATTCTCGTTCTCGAAAGAAAAGAAAATTAGATTTTCATTTTCTTGTAACCATTTCCTATTTTTTTTTTTTTTTGTATAAAAATTAAATTTTTTTTTATAGACAGAGAATTTTATAATTTTATAGAGAATTTTCCCCCAAAAATTGTGATTTGAAACTTTTTAATTTTTGATTCCTTGGAGCTTTTGATTCTTTTTGTGTTTAAAAAATAATTATAATCGGTTTTTTTTGATCGGGACTTCAAATTATTTTATATAAACATTGTTTTATATTGAATGAAATTGATGTAGTGGAAAAAATTTCCTTTCGTTTCAATTATAATCAGTATATAGCTTGTTTGATTGATGTAAATAAACAATATTGGTTTTCATTGAGAAAAAAAATTGTGTTTAATACAGAATCCAATAAATAGTTGTTCGGACAAATATAGGAATAATTTTTGTTTCTGTAGAGAAGCAGGTTTAATTTGTTGATTCTACAATGGAGTAAATTTAAAGTTAACAATCAAATAATAATGATAATAATGATAATAACGAAAATAATGATAATAATGATAATAACGAAAATAATGATAATAATGATAATAACGAAAATAATGATAATAATGATAATAATAATAATAATAATAATAATAATAATAAAAATAATAATAACAGTAAAAATGTTCAATGGTATAATATTCGAAGTAATAATAATTAAAAGAAATATCGGTTTATCAATGTCTGTATGGTTAATTTTTGATTTACATACAGAATGTTTCATTAAATGAGAATATAGTTTCACTGAATCTACATTTGTAAAACAGCGGTTTTAATAAAATTTCTAACACTATTTTTTCCAATTTAGTATTTTTCATGTTGGACAAAACTCTCTCGGGAACACGTTTTCTCTGCATTGAAAGGCAGTACATTAAATATTGAAAACTTCGATTTTTCATAGTGTAGATATATTCTTTTTTTTTTTTTATTTCAACATATATCAGAAAATTTATTTCGCTATCTTTGGGGATTTGTATTATTTGATAATCACCATAATTTCAAGTGCAAAACAACAACTTGTTAAAATAAATATATTCAATTCATTACTATTATCATTATTATTTATTTATATTATTATTATTATTTTGTATCATTATTTTTATTATTGTTATTATTATTTTTTAATATTATTTTTATTATTTTTTTTTTTTAATATTACTTTTATAACTTTTGCTTCCTCATAGAGCAAGGATTGTATTTTTATTATTATTATTATTATTATTATTATTATTATTATTATTATTATTATTATTATTATTGATATTATATTATTGTTATAAAAAAATGATTTACTTGATTCAAATAAACGATTATTTCTCTATTACCAAATAAATGTTTATTCGAATCAAATAATTTTTATTCAAATGAAATTGTAATTGAATCAATAATTTCAGTATTTGAAGCAAATATTATTTAATTAATTAAAATAAAAATTATTTCATTTATTCTGATTCAAATGAATGATTACTTGTCTACTATCAAATAAATATTTATTTGAATCAAATAATTTTTATTTAAATCAAATTGTATTTGAATCAATAATTTCAGTAATTTGAAGCAAATACTATTTAATTTATTTAAATAAAAATTATTTTATTCAAATAAATATTTATTTGATAGTAGATAAGTAATCATTCATTTGAATCAGATAAATTTTTTCTTAGTGTATTATTATTATTATTATTATTATTTTTATTATTTTTATTATTTTTTTTTATTTTTATTATTATTTAATGGGAGGAGTTAGCAATTATTATTATTATTATTATTATTATTATTATTATTATTATTATTATTATTATTATTATTATTATTATTATTATTATTATTATTATTATTATTATTATTATTATTATTATTATTATTATTATTATTATTATTATTATTATTATTATTATTACTATTATATTGAAAGTGGTGTTAATATTCTTATTGCTAATTGATTAAAAATTTTCCTTTACTTGACTATTGCTTTGTTCCTGAATTTTTTAGATAGACTTAATGTTTCGTGATAATTCTTTAATTGACGCATTTTTAATGAAATTAAAAGACCCGGGTCTTGCACCAAAAAAAAAGGTAAAAAAACGAATTTTCACACTATAATTATTTAACACCAAATAAATAGTTGTGTAGTTTTTTTTTAATTACTACATTTAATTAATTTAACATATTTCTTGTTCAAAGTTCTTTGAATTTTTTTATAAAATATGGATTTAGAGAAAATAATAAAATATTATTTGAAGTTTAATGTAATTGAATCTGTTTATTATATTCCTTTGTTGTTTTTAATGAAAAAAGAAAACAAAAAAAAAAAAAAATTATTTTCAATTCAGTTAAACATGACGCTTTTATTGTTTCTAATTTTTGAATTGTTTATATGATATTTGATTCAGTCCAAGAGAAATCAACTCTCTGTTACCTTTATTTCGCGTGTTTACTTTCATTTAAAAACTTGCAATGAAAATACCCCATTCTTGTGGAAATACTTTCAATGTTTGTAAGTCGTGTTGTTTACCCTTTTTATTTTTTGATCGGGTTCA